TGTGCATACCCAGGGTCTCTGCACCCTGCTGTCTAGCCCTTGGCTTCCCCAGTAACTATGAGAAATGGAAATAGATTGCCGCTGTTACCAGGAAAGGAGGCACCAATAATGCCTCTGTCTTCTCTTCTCTTTCTTTCTCCTGACCTTCCTTCCTATCTTTCTTTTTCTGTCATTCTCTCTACCTCTCCCAGACTCCACTTTCAGAAAGGACTTGAGATGCCCTGCAAAATAAACAATTACATGTATCTAAGTTAGTTCATTTAAGTCTGTAGAAAGGTCCAGAAATTTTTTAGAGGAAAGTGGAAGATCATTGCACCAGGTGCCAGCAAGGATGTGGTTGTGGCAATTGAGTACTGAATTTGACTGAGCTTCCTGGCAGCGAAGGCAAAGAGGGATGTGTAGTGGTTTCCAATGTTCCTGTTGTTCAATCAGAGGCAATTAACCATTCGTCAGGGGAAAAAACTTTTTCCTGGTAATGAATTTTAGGAGGGATTGAAAAGACTATTCTAATAGGCATGTCTCCAGAAGTTAAAAAAAAGTTCTTCGTACAGCTGTATTTTAATTGCCTCTAACCAATGTTGAGCGCCTGATATTCCATCACAGACCAGTGAGGGCACTGCCCAGGGGCTTTGACTAGTGGGAGACAAGGACTCTGTTTTCTGGTCACCTGACCTGATGAAGGGCAGGGGCGGGGGTTAGGGTATGCTCAGAGCTCTTGTGCAAACACTCCCCAGCTGGTTTTGATGGCTGTGGCTGAGTGGTGCTGCTGGACCATATGTTCACTCCTTCAACCAGCACTTCAGGGGCTCTGGGATGTTCCATGTTCCAGACTCTCAAGGCAGCCTAGAGGGAGAAAGACAAACAGCCGTAATACGTGGTCGGAAGTATGATAATGGAGGTCTGTGCAGAATGTCCCCATGTATGGAAGCACCAACAAGGGAGTCATGATTTTTCGTAGGAGTGTGGGGCCCAGGGGTGGCTTCACCAAGGAGGTGACATTTGGGCTGGGTCTTGTGGACAATGTAGGAGTTCTCTAAGTAGCTGACTGAGATGGGCCTTCAGGCAGAGGGAAGACAGTGCCTGGAGTGGCTGAGGAGCAGCCAGTGTAGGAGGTTCCAGGGAGCCCAGGGGATTGGGGAGAAAGCAGCTGTCTTTAAAAGTCACAGGCAGCTCAGAGGACAGACAGTGATGTGGACTCAGGGAGTAATTACACACCCAGACGAACCGGCAGCATCCGCAGGCTCGCGGAGGAGAGAAAGAGCTGCGGCATCCTGCCATGGAAGGGGCCCTGGGCACGGGGCCAGCCCCTGGAGATGGACCGTGTGAGGCACGGCCAGCAAAGGGCAGTGAGGGCTGGCTTCCGAATCCCGCTGTCCCCGAGCCCCCACTCTTTAGGGAAGTTCACTGTACGTCCTGGTAGCCGGTGGTGGTGGGTAACTGGATTTGTGGGCCTCCCACTGCATGGGTAACACAAGGTGAAAACTTCGTGTCTTGAAAAGATGACCAAACCCAACTGTTGACGTGACTGGACAAACTTTGATACTGAATTTATTGACTAGAACAAAAATGGAATCGCAGAAAAGCCTTTCCCTGTGGACGTTAGAGAAGGTGAGAGGCAGGTGTCCTTGTGACCACTCTCTGGCAATCTTCTCGAGCCCAGGGGGCCGCGGCTTTCTTGGGGGGAATAGAGGCTTTCCCTTGCAGACCGCGCTGCCCAGCCTGGCGTCTGGGAAGAGGGCAGTCAGCAGTGGGGTAGGGAGGCACAGGGACACCCACTCTCGGCTGAGATGCTGCCTGGCCTCCAGGGATGAGGGTGACGCATCCATTTGTTTGTCCATGTGCTCACCGTGCGAGCCCTGCACAGTCGACTCTCAGCTTGTCTGCCCTTGCCTCCTTGCCTCTGCTGCTTTCACCTCCTGCAGCTGTTGGCAGGTGCCCTGTTTCCGGATCACTCCGGCCTCTTCCCTCGTAGCCTTCCTTCAGCTCTGCTCAGCCTTGGGGTCAGGGATTGCTCAGGCCCGGGTTAAATACAGCCTGCCCCAAGAAACCTTCCCGACCATTGCCCGCCCCGGCTCTGTGCTCCTGTCCCTCCAGATGGAGCTTCTGGGCCATGTGACTCTTCCGTTGGGGTTTGTGGATAAAGGTCAAAGAGCATGCCTGATCTTCACGTGCTGTCCTGCACACAAGAGAGGCTCGGTAAGCACTGACCATCCGCTGTGCTCAGGCCTCCCCGGGGCACTCAGGGATACAGAGAGGAGTAGGCACCGTTCCCCCAGGGCCCCAGAAACTCCAGGAGACGCTGTTCAGGAAGAGACCCTTACCAGAGGCCTCCTCCCCTCCCGTCTTTGCAACAGCAATGCACTGAAGGAGCTGCTTCCCATGAGCGTTACTCCCAGATTCATTCTTGGCAAATTAGGAGGCTAATGCTGTGACCAAGACTCTTTCTACAGAGGATGACGTCTAGACAGTGACCTCTTCCCAAAGCTCCCTGCTGCATGGAGTAAAGACTTTGCTGGTCACGACCTGTAGCAAGAAACGTTTTCATCTCCACCTAGTGCACACATATCCACTTACATGTGACTCAGAGAGTCACAAAACAGGACTTACTCTTTCCATGTATGAGGTCCTTGAATATTTTCTGTCCCAGTCCATTCCAGTTTCACTTTGTAAAATATTGGTACTAGCGAATTGACTTCATACCTGTTAAAGGGTCAAGACACACTGTGGTATGAAAATCACCAGGCAACTGTCAAGACTTGGGAGTCGGATGGAGGTTTGAATCCTGGCTCTGGCACCTAGAAGCTGTGTGACCTTAGACAAGCCACTTCCCCTCTATAATAGAAATCTCAGAGGCTTCATCTGGAAAGTGGGGATCACGTAGAACCTGCTTCATGGGGTGATTGTGAGGATTCAATGGGATAATACAGGTACGGCTCCCGGCACAGAGTAAGTGATGGATAATGTGAGCTTTTCACGTGGTCGTGAAGGTTATGGTTCTTACTGCTCTGGCACTACAAGCAAAGGCAGGATTCCTGCCTCCTGGGGAATGGTAGTCAGGGAGGACTTCCTGGAGAAGAAGGCATTGGAGCAGGGTGACAGGATGACCGGGACACACTACTGTCCTCGCGGTGCCTGAGAACCTTGTGTGAGCATCCCAGCGCCTCTGGTTTCCTTTTCCATGAAGAACAGACTTGTTCCCGAGGATTTTTGGCTGGACCTAGAGCCGACCACATTAGATGCCTTTGCCTTTCACATTTCGGTCTCTAATCCACCGGGAATTGATTTTTGTGTCTGGTGTAGAGTAAAGATCCAATTTCTTTCCCCCTTGTTTCGGAATGTATAAGCAGTTACCTGCTCTGTTCATTAGAGTCCGTCCTCCTGCTGAGTTGTATGTCGTCTTGCTCGTATATCAAGCTTCCGTATATGCACAGACCAGTTTCTGGACTTGAGTCTGTTTCATTGGTCTATTTATCTGTCCTGGGGCCAATCCCACACTGTCTTAATTACTGCAGCTTTCTAGTGACTCCTGCTGTTGGGGAGGCGTCCCCTCTTGTCCTTCTCCCTTAGAAGCACGTGGGCTGGCCTCTGGCCTGTGCTCTTCTCCGCGTGTTTCAGGATCGGCCTCTGCTGGGGACATCTGGAGAACCCCAGGAGCTGCCCACGCGCTGTGCTCGGTGAGGACCCGTCTCGGGGGCCTGGGCCCGCACTGCCTCCTGACTCCCTGCCGCTGGCCACTCTGGCTGGCATTAGAGCTGCCCAGGAAGTTCTTTCTAATTCATTTGCAGAGAAAAGCACCAGGGATGTGCCTGAACTGGGGTCCCTTCCACCTGCCACCTGCCCAGTGGCTCCTCCGCTTTCCCTCCCTGTGGGCCTCGTCATCCTACCCAGGGGCGTGCAACTCCTTTCACTCTTCTGTTCCTGCCTGCCAAGGACATAAGCCTACACAGAGAGTGACATGTCTTCCATTGGCAGAGCCGGGGTCCTGCAGGGGACTCCCCAGACCAGCGCTTGGCGTGCACAACCAAATTCTTTGGCTTGGGTGTTTGTAAATATTTTCTTTACCTGAAAATAGGCCTGGAGGTTGGGTAGGAGGAAGATACCTGTCACTCATGCTTATGATTTAGTCGTCTTTGAGTGGGAAGATCCAGGTGTGCATCTTCCAGCCTTTTCTGGAGACCATTCTGACAGTGGCTTGGATGCCAAGGCAGTGACTCATGGCAAGCTCTGACTTCATGAAATAGGTTAAAGAAAGGAGCATGACTCACGGGCCAAATGCACATGGGTGGCGTGGACTTGGTAAATCAGATGTATGTACCCTGCAGTCTTAAGCATGCAAGTGTTTACATGCTTCTAGAATTCAAAAACACTTGCCGAACTGGCTCGTTTGGTTTGGTGTATGTGTTGGATTTTGGGTGAGAGTTTGTGGTGAACCGTCCCCTGGACTGAGACTCTGCCCCGTGGGCCATGGGCACAGCCTTCCCCTGCGCCTCAGTTTGCTCACCTGTGAAATAAAGGTTTGGGCTGGAGATGTCCCAGGTTCCCTTTAACCCTTGTTTCTGTGATTCTCCATCTGTGGTTTAAGAACACAGAAATCAGAAACCTAGCCTTCCATGCTCTTGGCACCAAGACTTATTTCTGCCTTGCTTTTGGTTCCTGATGTCTCCCTCCCTGCCTTGAGGAGGATGGTTGTCCCTCACTGGCTGGGGCTGGCAAGGGGAACCTGCAGGCCGCAAAGAGAGAAAGGTTTGAATCCTCTTGAAGCGGTGCTGAATCCTGCCCACCTCTTCAGCTGGCGAGAATTGTCGATTCTGGGCACCTGTCTTGCTCTGTCAAGCTGAGTCTGCCCTCTCAACCCCAGGGGTTCATGAGCCCCCTGTGGGCCTTGGTGCTGGCTTGGGCTAGCCTGGCTAGGGGCTGAGCCCAGGATGCGGCAGTGGCATTTGGCTGGGGTGCTTTGGAGTCTTGATGCTGAGATGTCTCTGTTTTGTTTCCTCTTTCAGACCACTGAGTATTCAGCCATGGCCTCGCTGGCTGGAGGGCTGGACGACATGAAGGCCAACCTGACCAGCCCCACCCCAGCTGACATCGGGAGCAGCGTGCCAGGGCCGCAGTCCTACCCCATTGTGACAGGTGAGGGCACCTGGGGCGTGGGGATGGGTGGTGGAGGTGGGGAGAGAGAGAGGAGAGAGAGAGGGAGAATGCATGCATGGTGGGAAGAACTTCTCGGTGCTTTTGGACTTGACTGGCCATTTTTGTTTAGTGAGGTGGTGAGGTCCTGGAGCAGGTCCGGCAGGAGACTGCTGGGGCCAGGAATTGTGGCTGTGATGAGACATGGCTGTTTGTTGCTCTGATAAAGCCCGAGGAGAGAAAATGCCAAATGCGCTGCGGGCCGGGAGGTGGGCAGGGAGGCCTCATGGCAGGGGGCCGGGGGATTTTGCAGCCCCCGTGAGTGGTGCTGGGTGTTCAGAAGTCTGGGGTTTATCCTTCTCAGGAGAAAGGCAGCCCTGGTTGGCGCCAGCCTCGAGGACGACGAGGAGGGGAGTCCTGGCCGATAGTTGCCGGCGTTTCAGATTTCCGGGCAGAGGCTGAGTCAAGAGGGGCGGAGGTTTAGGCTGGAAAGTGCCTGGTATCTGTGAAGCCGCTGCCTTTCAGGAAGGCCCAGGGCCAGCCCTCTGAGCTGTCAGTGTAGAGATGAAGGGTTTGGGCCTTGGAGGCACACTGCCGGGTTTGACCCTGCCATTGACTAACTGAGTAGTCTTGGGTGAATTACATAAGAATTCTGGGCTGTGGTTTTTTAATCAGGAAAATGGGGATAGAGCTAGAACCTGCCCCACAGTGAGGCTGTGAGGATGGATGCGCCAAGACCTGTAAGGGGCCCAGGCTCTCATCTGCACATGGCAGGCACTCAGCTCACGTCGCCATGATCATTCCTCCCGGAGCCCTCTCAGGGTGGCTGGTCACCGCTGGGCTGGGAGGGCTGGGACAGGCCGGCACCCCTCCCTGCTCCAGCAGCACTAGGATGAGAGGGACAGACGGGGAGGTTGTCCAACCTGGCAGGCAGAAGGTAGTCTTGGACACGGTACAGATAGACAGCGGAGCGCTGGGGAGCGGCCCTTGGCCAGAGCCTTGGGGTGCAGCCTGAGGCAGCAGGGTGTCCTTGGAGGCTGGGAGGCAGCACACAGTAAGTAGGGACAGAGACAAGGGGATCTCAGACATGCAGGTAGGCTGTGGTTGCATCCAGAAGCTGGGGACTGGACTCGGGTTAGAGCTTTAGGGGAGGGGCTGAATGAGACGTCCTCTCAGCCCCAGCCTCACAGAGGACAAGGCAGGGATGGCCCGCTCTGAGACCTGGGCTGATAGCTGGGCACTGGGGCTCATGGGGTCAGGCAGAAGCAGCTGGGGCCTCTTTGCAGATCTGGGCACCACATGGGGGTCAGTCAAGCGGCAAGAGTGACTTGGTCCCCTGTCTACCTGACATGGGGGAAGGGCCTGGGGGGCCGCTGAGCCTGCAGGTGGGGAGGTGTCAGCAATGGGGCAGGGACGGGAGGCAGGGAGCATCAGGCAGAGGGTGCCTTTGCTGACATCACACAAGTTCCAGGAGGTCCTCTTCCCTGGCGTCATGAGGGTCCGTGACAGATGTCTCACAGCACCCCATGTTATAGATGCAGAAACCAAGTCTCAGGCGGGAGCAGGGACTAGCCCTAGATTAGGGCTCAGGGAAGAATCGGAGCCGGCCCTCAGTCCCTAGATCCCAGACCGTATTCCTTTCAACGAACTACAAATAACTGTAGGGGTGGGAAGAAGCCTGGACTAGCTGATAGTGACAGTAACTGTCTCTCTCTGGGTAGTTATTGAGCACCAGGCACTCGGTTCCAGAGGGACTCGGGGAGGTGGGTGCTATTCTATCACGTCCATTTCGCAAACAAAGCAACTGAGGCTTGGAGCAGTTAAGTAGCTTGCCTGAGGTCACAGCTGGTGAGCAGTGGAGTTACCGCTGAATGCCAGGGCCTGTGTAGTTGGCCACTCTGCCACACGGGTCACCGGGGGACTAGTCCCAGCGCTGTCATTTCCTTGCTGTCTGACTTGGCAGGTGTCTCTGAGCCTCGGTGTCTCCATCTGTGAAATGGTCCTGGCTTCTCAGAGCCCTTTGAGGATCAGATGAGATCCCAAGGCGACTGCTCTGCAGGGGGGTCTGCTCTCGGGACCGGCGTTCGCTGGAAGCCAGGGTTTAGGCAGGTCACGAGGAGACATTGAATTCTGCCATCCATGCACCGCCGATGCAGGTGGAGAGAAGCCAGGCAGCGCTGCGGCCACGGTCGCACCTCTGGGACTCTGGTCTGCTGGGGGGTAAACTGGCCGTCAGCTGGCCAGAATTATGCTTAATTTTGAAATGTTAGCAGTATTCTATTATAAATATATAATATTTATGTGATTTATATAATACTTACATAATGTAACATTACAGTATTATAAATATAATCACTAGCTTTCTTGTAAGTAAACAATAGCTAGCTAGAAAACATAATAGGAGAAAACATTAACAATACCACCGAAAAAAGAGAGAGAAAGAGAATGCCGAGGAATAAACTTAACTTTAAAACTCCGCTAAGGGACATAAAAGAATAAATGGAGGGCTACAGCTTGTTCTTGGAAGGAAGACTCGGTATCATGAAGATGTCAATTCCCCCTAAGTAATCTATTAATTCAAAGCAAATCCAATCAAAACACCAACAGAATTTTTTTTTGGAACTTGTGAAAATGACACTAAATGCTGGATACATAAACACTCAAGGATAGCTAGAAAAATTCTGAAATAGAGAAATGAGTAAAACACAGCACACTTAAAAACATTATGATAGAGCCACAACAATTAAAACTGTTTGCTACTGACACTGAAGTAAACAGTCAAATGGAACAGCATAGACAGTCCAGAAATAGATGGCTCCAGAAACATTGGGTGTTTATAAATGCAGCATTTCAGAGCAGCAGAGAAAAGAGAAACCATTCAGTTAATGGTGTTGAGACGACTGGGTTGGCTGGATGTACATCTCACTCTTTATATAAAAATAAACTTCATGTTGATCAAAACTTCAAATGTGAAAAATAAAATCATAAAACTAGAAAAAAAAGTGAGGGAATTTTTTATAATCTCAGAGTGGGGAAGACCTTTTAAAATCTGTTCCAAACACAAAAGACAAAGAAAAATAATATAAATGACTGTTAAAAATGTAAATCTTTTGTATATACGCAGAAATATCCAAAAGACAAGGAACAAAATTAGAAAAAAAAAAAAGGAACACAGATGACAAAAAGCCAATTTCCTTAATATATAAAGAGCTTTTAGAAAAAGAAAAAAATCAGTAGGAAAAACAGACAGAGGATATGGATAGGTAATCCACTGGACAAAATGCGGATGTCCAACAGCGTATGAAAAGATATGCACTTGACTCATAATTTTAAAGCTGCAAATTAAAACAATCATGAGACACGCACGCACAAAATCCGTTAGCTTACCAAAGATTGAACTGTTTTTTGAGGTCCAGTGTTGGAGAGGGTGTGAGAAACAAATATTTTCATGCACTGTTATAGGTGTATAAATCACTGCAATCTTTTTTGGAGGGAAATATGTCAATATCTATCAAAATTTTAAATGTACATACCTACTCGCTAACCCAGAGCTTTTACTTGCCTTTAGGACTTTGTCTCACAGATCTATTCACACAGATGCAGCGTGCTGCCTGTATCTGTACAATAATTACAGAATTACTTAGAATGGAAAACAAATGGAAACAACGCAGTGTTTATCCATAGGAGCCGGTTAAATAAATGATGGCTCTTTCACACAATAAAATGCTATGCAACCATTAAAAAGAATTAAGTAGAGCTCTGTGCTGACAGGAATAAACGTTCAAGATATACTTTTAAGGAAATTAACAGTTTGTAGAATAATATGGTAAGTATGATCCCATTAGTGTGAAAAAATATAAAGGACACAGACACAGAGGCACGGACACAGGCAGGTGAGAAGTCCTTTTTCCTGCTTTCTGGGGCGTGGGCTGTGCAAGAACCAGAGGTCTCTGCCCACTCCCACCCAGTGTCCCCTGGGGATAGCAAATGTTTACAGTGCCCTTTAATCTCCTGAAATTAAGTTCATAAAAAATATAGCCATCTTCACATTTAATTTGAAATAAAATCAGCATAATGCCCTCACTATGAGATAAAGGAGAACTGAAACTGAAATTGTTTGTAAGTAAATACTACGTACTTTGATAAGTAAACACTCTGGTATCTATACCTCGAGACATAATGAAGCGGTCCAGGCCGGCTCCGGTGCAGAACCACTGTGAGGGCAGCAGCCTGAGCAGAGCCCTGCGGGGGTGGACGTGGGCTCAGATGGCTGCAGACTGCGCCGAGGAGCGCTTGGCCAAGTTCCAGGAAACACAGTAGGAGCTTTACACGGTAGCCGCATTCCTGGAAAATTCAGTGCATATTAAGACCATGGAAATTGCAAGTTCACATTTTTATATAAATGACGTTCAGTTCTAGATTCAAATAATTATCAACAGATCTGCCGCTTACAGGAATGTTTGGCAGCACATGACAATATGTAGGATGAAGGAAAATTCTTCATTGTGTGGGGCTGTTCCACTGCAAGCCAATAACGCCCTTCAAACATTTAAAAGTCCCCATAGATTTTCAAAATACCCTCCAGGGGGCAGTTGCCGACCCCATTGAGAACTGCTGGAACACCTTGGAGGAACGCCCCCCAGGAGTGTTAAAGTGGGCCTCCATGCCCCTCCAGGCATTAACTTAATTCTGCCTGTGTTTCTGCACATGCTGTCACAGTTCTGAACTCTTCAAGGGCGAGCTTGAGTCTTCCAGCCCTGCTGCTCCGTCTCTCCTCTCCACACAGCCCAGAATGGTAGCAGCTCAGCCGGGTGAGCCAGCCCAGGGTCTGGGGAGGGACAGTGGGCTCTGTACTGCTCCATCCCGGCCCTCACACTCCGGGCTGCCAGGGACGATCTCACTAGAGGACAAGTGGATTTCTCTCCATCGTTTCTATGCCACATTGCACATTAAGTTCAACTCCCACTCTGCCAGCCAGGGCCACGGTTCAGAAACTGCTCGCC